TGCTTTAGCAAAAAGGAAAGTTTGAAGCCTAATCTTAAATACAATATTCATATTACTTTTTAGCATGCACTATTAGTATTATTAATAGTGCATGCTAAAAGGTCTATTAACTACACAACGGGAGGCGAATATACAAAAAATACTTGTAATAGATGGAAGTTAACAAGTGCTCTGAAACTCACCAGAAGTTTTGCTAGAAATAATATTACTAAGCTGTCAAATGAATTCAGTCAGTTAATTAATTGGGGATGTTCAGGTTTATTTCTGTTTTGTTTTTTCTCTCTCTCTCTTGCCAGTGACATGCATGTTCAAGCAGGTTGAGGTCAGATGTCAGACTTGCACCTGTCCATGAGTAAAACTGTGCAAAAGAGTGATTCTTTCAGGGGAAAAAACTGCATGCCCTTTTTGTTCTTTAGAAAAAATACTTGTAGGACATAATGTCCTCCAGGGGTGAAGGAATTAGCATTTAGGTGAGAAAAACCAAACTTTTACCTAACAAAGAACCACACGGTAACCATAGCTTCAAATTGGTTTTCTTATCTCGCCTACTATTTCTCTCTGTGATAATAGCCAGGATTCTTTGAGGTGAATTTCCATACAAATTGTCTAAGCATTACCAAGCCATTATTGTGCATTGAGAGACCTCAAATTAAATTAATCCAGTGCTATGAAAAAGGAAAAAAAAAAGTTTCTAAATTATTCTGGCAAAAACAAACACACACAAAAATAAATAAATAAATAAAACCTCCCACCTCCCCCACACCTTTCTGTTTGCTTTAACCTGCACTACTCCATCATTCACTTCTGATCTTTTTCATCTATTTTTGCTACTTTCTCCAATTCTGTGCCTGTCCTCAATTCCTTTTCTAAAGGAGAAAAAAAAAGATTGTCCTGCTTTCAGGTCATTCTCAATGCTTTCTATTTCTTTTTCAGCCGGCGTACCCATTTTTGACACATCTCTGTTTTCTGTTCCCTACAATGTTGTCTAGGCAATGGATTTCTTTTTTCAGTAACACCATCTTTTTTTCTTTCTTTTCCCTGTTTTATTCAACTACGTTCTCCTCGAAAAGTTGGTAAGTGCAACGTTGGAAAAGAAGAGTGGCAGATTGTGGCCTTTCTTCTTTCCTCAACCCTTAGATAATCTTGTCACAGCATCACTCTCCTTGACTCCTTTGCTTGTAGTTAATCAACTCCTAATTTCTCAGGTTACCTCTGTGTCTCGTGCTCGAGCTTGCCTCAGTGTTGACATCCCTGTTCCCTCTTCCAAATTTCCCTCCAGACAGCCCTCTCGCCCCCATCTGTCTCTTGCTAACCTCCTCCGTGCCATCTTTTGCTCACCACGCATCTTGTCCAAGCATCAGACCTTATCCCTTCTCCCCTGCCTACAGTTTTCTGTCCAACTCATCTCCTAACACTAAGTGGCAGGGCCTCAGATGGACTGAGGTTTGAATTGCGCCAGCTAAAAAGGTTCACCAGCAGGGCAGACAAACGCTGCCAAGGACCTCTGGCAAGCTGGGGTCTCGGTGGAAAGGAAGGACGGGCACGAACGAGGAGGAGAGAGGCCGGATGAAAGTGCACGTCTTGTGAGGAGGGCTATCGCACTGTCTCAGGTTCTCCGAGGATGAAAGGAGTGCCGTGACTCCAGTGACAAGCAAAATTACAAGGCAGCCAATGAGGAAGAAATTTAGTCTTCTGAAGGAAATGAGCACAATCATAAGTTGTATTATAAAGTATTGAATAATGGATGCGTAATCAAATGGAATATAAGACATGGCATCAGCCAGGGTTACATTTAATAGATAACCTGTAGAGGAAGGAGGTAAAAGATCATGTACAACATCTTTATTAATATGTCGATATGATTAAGTTAATTATTATTATAATTTAAGCGATGATACATCAAAACGCTGGGGAAGCTTTGAGGGTAAGAGCTGCCAGAAAAGTAGAAATATTACTTTTGCTGTTAGATAAAACGTAGAAATGCAGCACATTCTCATTTCTTCTAAGTTAAATTTTTATATAACAGCTTCAAGCTAAACTATTTGTGGGTAACACAGCTCAAAATGTCAAAGGAGCTTGCACAGAAAAGCGTCTGGACTTCTTTAAGTTGCTTGAAGACGTTTCACCTCTCATCCGAGAAGCTTCTTCAGTTCTAAGGTCAAATGGTGGAGAGTCCCAGATATAAACCTAGTGGGAGTTTCCCCCCACAGAGGGACAAAAGGACCCCCTGATGATCCTCTAATCACCTGAGCCAAGGTGTGAAGCTGGGTGTGGGTCCCAATCAGCCAGAGTTTCGGGTGAGTTCATTGTGAAACCTGGCCCCACCTTATCATGCGAATTCCTGAGGTCAGATGGCCCAGGATGTGAGTGGGCGTTAAGACGTCTGGGGAGGGAACTCAAAACTGGATTATAGATGGCAGACAGTTGGTGTCGTAAACCACCGCCTCTGTTCAAAGATGGTCGCTCACAGTGGACATAGATGCTTCTTTCACTCCTCTTTCAAACCATCTGTTCTCTCTGCTTCTCGGATGAGAGGTGAAACGTCTTCAAGTAACTTAAAGAAGTCCAGACGCTTTTCTTTGCAAGCTCCTTTGACTACGATGACCTGGATGACTGAGAACCTTCACAGACATGCAGCTCAAAATGCAAACTCAGAGAATTATATTGTAAACTCTTTTCAAATTATCAAAAGACGCAAAATATGCTGGAAAAATATTTGGAATTTCAGTGTTTCAGTCTAGAGATGGGCAAAAAGGAAACAATTATCTAGAATATTGCCTGTAAGTCAGTGGGAATGGGGAGTGGGCTGACAGAGTATTTTGCTCGTTTGGCTCTGTCCTGGTGTAAAAATACTACAAGCTGGAAAAAGTCAGCCTTTCAGTGTCGTATGAAATAAATGGCAACAGTATAACCATTTCAAAGTAAATAATGTGGATGTTGTGCACACCCATTCCCAGGTGGGTACAGGACAAGGTCACAAAGGGATCTGAGATGCTTTAATATTTTCTCTGGCAGAGAAATCATAGCACCTGGCAGTCACGATTTCTTAAATATGTGGGAGAACTTGGAAAATACAGGGTTTGGAAAATGTGCGGTGTAATGAGGAGCCCAACTTAGCCAAGTCTAAAAGAATAAAGGCAAAACTTCCAAACTAGACGGAGGCTGAGCACGGCTTATACGTGACTCACTGATGCACATTTAGTTCTCTAAATGCTGGCAAGGCTTAACACTCTGCTTGTCACCCAGCGTGTTTGACAGGATGTCTTTGAGATCAGAGATTTATTTAGGTTTCTCCCGAATCTGTCAAAGAGCAACAAAGGCTTTTTGTTGCCATCCTTACATGCAGTATGTCAAATCTTTTCATTGCTCAAGAAATTGAGTTCAAACTCTCTTCATTGTCAACAAAGCTTTTGTTGTTCAAACTGGAAGGTTGCAGTTTGGCGCTACGTATCCTGAAGAACTTTTACAGTATTCAGGAACAACCACAGATGAGACCCGGACCATATTTTCTTTAAGTAGTTTTTATCTCTTCTTGCTTCCTTACATTAATCTCCTTCTTTACTGCTTCCATGATCTACATGGCCTTTCAATCATTGTTCTGGCCACACTGGAAAACATATTGAAAGCTTCTGAACTTAAGGCCTGGGAGCCAGGACGCTGTCGTTTTACAGCGTTGTAAGGGAGACTCAGAATCAGCATATTTTCATCTATAGCACATGCATCATATCACACCCCGCAGACGCAGAGAGAAAGATTTACTGAGTTAAACCAGAGAACAAATTTACTTCACACTATCTTTATGAGATCTGATTTCATGCTTTGCAGGTTTGTGCGCGCCACAGACAATAACAGTGCAGTAATCATGCAAGTCCAATTTCCAAAAGAATACAACCGTGTATTTCACATCATACTGCATGTTTCAATCCGTAAGCTATAAAGGAAGCATAAAACGTGTGATTTCTTTAAGCTTCCTGCTTTTATCACTGACCAACTGTTGAGGCAACAAAAATATGAGTCACCTTGTATGATTGTGGCTACAATAACGATCTGCTGAGCTTGTGATGAATGGTGTTTGTTCACCGTCGTGGAAA